ACATATGTTAGTGCACATGTATAACTTTTACGAAAGGAATGAAATTAAGTAAAACTTGCGCCGAAGTTGAAGGCAAGAGAAACCGGAACGAAGAAACAATAGAAAGCAAAGTCATTCACAGTTTTGTACAGAGTCTAATGATGTTTATTCATCGCGACGTAAAAAACTCGGTGCTTCAGTTTCTCTTTCATGCCAGTAGTGTTCCGTATATACTCTCGTACGTACGTACGTATGTACGTGGAACAAACGACGAACTGACAGGCTGTGTAAACAGAATTTTTCCATTGTCACGTGGCCGCTTTGCGTCGTCGCCTGCATTCGCTTCCACTGAAAAGGGGAGCATATATGGATCTTGTCTCGTAATTCCAACCCACTTTAATATCCTTCCCTTTGTAGCCGTGGAAACTGATAGATACTCCCGTATCATATATGCTGTGATATTATTCACATTGTTCCTCTCCCACACAAATGATTAAAAACGAGAAGAGATTAAGAGTCTTTTTAGGATTTTGACAAAACTAGAATTTTTTACACGGAATAAAGAGAAATAATTAAGTAGTCAATAAATTAATTATTAGATTATTTTATATTATTATTTAATATTAACACTTCAGCTATGCTCGATTTAAATCTTAAGTAGTATAACCATGGTATTGGTCAGACGCTATCAGGAGATATAGTATCATGACGATATCATGCAAGTAAGATAATAAGAAAAAGCTGATGATCGACTAGATTGCCTTCACAGAACATATTGAAGCTCTCTTCAACATATCATACTGTGTGAATCAGTGATTTTAGAAATTGTGATGATGCGTTTCCTCGAATATTTATTTAACACGGAAAATGGTACTTTACGTTGCTGAATGGGGTATAATAAATCATAGAAGATTATCGGTGAACATGCTATCAACAAACTACTGTTCACTCTAAGGATAATTAGCATTCGTGTTTCAATTAAATATTCATGGAAGATAGTGCCATGTTTGACGTTTGTTTGCCTCGATTAATTGCTGAATAATGACAGCTGCCTTTATGTAGATGATTATCGCGATAGCAATTAAAGAAAAAAGGGGATGAGGGTCGTGTGTCAATCGACATACTATATGGGAACATTTGTGATCCGTTCCTATGTGTAAGTGGTACACACATCGTTATAATTGTGTTTATTCACTAGATACACAGTAGTCTTAAATAATGAACGTAACAATCGTAACCGTGTTCACTGTACATACAAGATTTTTCATCGATCCGCGTTCATTATTTATTAGCAATAGCTTCGTCTTATCGTACGCTGTTATCTAGGCTCTATCCTTCAACATATTCGTTTTGTAATCGAACTCAAATACATATCAATCAATTATTGCAACAGTGATAAAAAATGCTGAGTGTTCCAAAAATAAGTTTCAACATTTTCAGATGTATAAAGAGTCCTGCGATGTAAGCATCCAATTGGTCAGAGCTTTGGACTAATAATTCAAATATTACGAACATGTCATACGTTTTACTGTTGCAATAAATGAGGTCATACATGGATTTGATAAAAGTTTTTGGACTTTTAATTGGGAGCACCAATTCGAACCTTAAGCATTAAGTTTATTTATTAGATTTATCATCACTTATATGAATACTATTAGGAGCTCAATGCTGTTCACTTGCGTTTTCTCTTGTACACCTTATTCGTATTTAAATAGTAGCAAAAATTCCATATAATGTCGTCACATATTCGTACCATTAAAATTTTGCATGCTTACGGTAACGGTAACAAATCCTTCGTCAGTCATCTTTTTTTATAATGCAGATTATTCTACTTCAAAGTTACAAGTAAATTCTCATTGCATGTCCTAAATGGAATTCTGCCAATTGGCAGATATACCAATGAGTATTTTTGGTTTCCAGTGAACATACAAGAATTTACTCTAGGTACAGTTACAATTCGGTTGTTAAAAGACATAGTATGTAATCTTAATATTATCTGTACAAGTCCTTAAGTTAATAGTAACGGTGATTAAAATACTGTTTAATCTTTTCTTTTAACGCAATTAAAATACTATGCATTGCTTTGAATAGAGATTATCGAATTACTTATGGGAACATAATAAATGAAGCAGTGAAGGACTTGGATAACGACATTATGTAACATTTTTCTTTACTATGATATTTGGAGATTACTTTATCTTTGTAACATTTTTCAATTGACGAGTTTTAAGGTATGAAAATGATTTTATACAATGTAATCAAATATGTACAGTGGAAGGAAATTAAATTTTTAGGATGATTTGAAACTCTCGAGTTCTTTAAATAAAGTCTAAGCTTGCAATTTAATACTGGATAACATAATTGCAATACCAATAATCGTAAAGCGTTAATTTTATACGTGAGATCTTACGTTATTCTTTAATACTGTGGAACATTTATGCCTAATAGTAATCCTACCTATGCTTCTTACCTTACCCCTTAGCTTTAAAGATATTCCGACATTCAGAAAGTACAAAGTTACAAAACTGCTTAAAAAATATGACTGTTCTTCTTTTACTTTAACTTAAAATTGGACACGTTGTACAAATATAACGAGTTAAGAATTTTTTTAAATAATCAAACGAGATAAAATTCTGCACTGTGAAAACAAATCCTTAATTACAGTTGAATACGACTAAATTTTCCAAATGCAAATAAATTTACGCAGTACCCGAAGGATTTTCTCTATACCCTGTCTTTACATAATTGTACGTAATGACAATATAAATAAGTATCACAAAAAAACAGCGAAGTCGTGTAAAATTAGACTCATGGCAAGGGTCCACTTCGTAGACACTAAGCTTTCATTAAATGCTTAAGAACTTTTCAAAGTATATTTCTCTCTTTGCACAGAATTTTTCAAAATCATATTATAATTCCTCATGCGAAAATTGGAAAACGGTATCGTACAAGTTCACAGACAATAAAGTTTCATTCTGACAATGGGTTCATTTTGACTGTAACATTAGTGAAACTGATACTGGAACAAGAGTTTTAATTTTCTATTTAAAAAAAAAAAGTAGGGACAGATTTGATAAATGATAGTTCACGATGTACATTAATAAATCTCGCATTCCAGCATCATTCCGAAAACTTTATTGTCAAGTGATGACATCACATACATGTCTCAGATTTTCGTTATCAACCTATAAACTAGTGCACATTAATTGTGTATCCGAGCAAAGTACGTTCACATTTACGCGGTACATAGAAACTTGTTTTCGAGGCGACGGCAAATGTGCTAACGTTCCGGGACGATTAGTTAGGCAAAAGAGGCCAACTGTAACATGAATTATGAGGCCGATTCCTAAGGCCAAGAGATAGCTCAACATCGTTTTCTGGAACTTTAAACAATACTTTTCGTTTAGTGTTAATGCAGTTTAAACCGATGTTGCGCTGCAGGAGCATTTGTAACAGAAAATCCAGGATCTCGTCAACCCTGTTGTTTCGAGGTACTCGGCGAGTTTTGATCCTGCATACTATTGTTCGATTGATCTGTAAATAGAATTAGTATTTTTATTTTTTATCAAGAGAGCCGCATTCACTTCTCGTGTGCATATTTGTGAAAATCGTGAATCAAGTGCTGTGAATAATTAAAGTTGCTAATTGAATCGAGCGAGATGGGGCACTTGACTGCAGATCTCTTTGTACCAATTCCACTCAAAACTTCATTCGTTTCAATTATGAAAACGTATAGAATTTTTATTCATGTACAATTGTTCTAAATTACTAAATGTGTGTGCGTATTGTTTTTTATTTTGTATTGTGGATAGAAAGGAAGGAATGAACGTTTTAATTGATTTAATATTGGATTGGATTTTATATTTCATATATTGCAAATAACAATGATACAAACATTGAACACAGTTAACAATATTGACCTTTTCATTTCCATATTCTTCGCAACAGTTTGTAAAATGGAGAAAGTGTAACAATATTTTATTTTGATAGAAAATTTCTAAACTGTGTCAACTGAGTTGAAGAAATGATCGTATTTTATTTCGCATATCAAAATATTTATTCAATGGAAATGAAAGAGTGGACGCATTACACAGCGACACTGCTGGATCTATAGCGTAGCGAAGTTCTTAAGTTACTCATTGTCAAACAGGAGGCTAACTTGTAAGAGTTCGATTTAGGGCAGCAGTGACGCGACGCGACGCCGCTGCGCGCTATTCTTACTTCAATACCCGAAGTATACCACCCCCGGGGGGTGTAACAGAAGGAGCGCGTAGTGACAACAATAGTATTGCGAACAACTCAGCAGCAAGCGGTCTCAAAAATTACTGTGGAGGCGTTAGTTAGATCCTGACTGAGTGACTTAACAACCTTAGAGCATTTCTACTACTGTACGCATATTCGAAATTTCAATAATATTCTTCATTCAATCTAAAATAATTTATTCCATTATGAAAAAAATAATAACAAATTCATGAAATTTCGAATGTGGGACATGCGAATACATGATTTAAGGA